CGATTAATCGATTATTAAATTAGACATTGATTACTTAAATAATTGATTAGTCGTCAATTAATCGTGGCAGCCCTACTTCTGACCAATCTTTAGTTAAGACTTTAAGAATAACTTCGAGACATTTGACCACACCTCATAGGAACCTGATTTATAACAATCTTATTGTATGCACAATGAGATTGATGGCCTCAGTGTGCAAGAGGTTTGCAAGGTTTGAGTCTGATTGTTACTAAACCCCTTTTTTAACCATGACGTGTGATTTTCGTAAGTGCTCGTTGCGCCACAGTCTGTTTGCTTTAAGTCTTATAAAAAAATATGACGCACACGAAAATGTATTGTGTGGAAGAAGGTGTTGGCTAATTGAGAAACACAGGTGAGAGCACATTTTAGTTTTGTATTCCAATGCAACTTGATGGACAAGTTCCTAAAGTCAGGATTTTAATAAAATGTCTGAACTCCTCCCTGTGCATCATCCATCCACCCCCTTGTTTATTCCTTTTTTTCTTCATTTTTAAAATCTTAAAATTTTTCTTTTGCTTTTAATTTTTTTATTTTATTGTTTGTGGCAGTTGTGTTAATATTTAGCTGATGCAGTAATTATAGGATGCGGTACCAGCTAAATATGCTGAGGCTATTGACCAAGTGCAACAAAAATCTTGATCCACCTTTTTTTTTTGTACTGCAGTCATTGTAGTTGAAACGGTAATGTTCCCAAATAGCATATACTTGGGACTCTCAAGCTCTAGTGTTAAGGCGTTGGTTTATGTGCTACTTTTTAAAAGAAACACAGCTCTACAAATAATCGTTCAAGTTTAAAACAATGCTGCATTTGTATGATACAAATACATGTTATATTAAGCCCCTGATGGTGTGAGCAATTCATTACAGCCATGCATTTTATCACAATAAAATTATCATGTGATTTTATTCTATATTTTTTCAGTCATTTTAGTTTTCAGTCATTTCACCACTTACATTAAACGATTCCTTTTATTTGGCCCATTGTCTGTTCAGTTCAAATTATATATTTTTTTTCTTATTGAAATCTTTGCCATCTGTTTTTCATTTGTCTGATTTTTATTTCTTCCATCAACTCTAACATGTTGTTTTCCCCCCCTCCTTGGCTCGTGTTGGTGCTCCAGAACCAACAAAACGTATGCTTTCCTTCCAAGGGTTGGCAGAGCTGGCGCACCGCGAGTACCAGTCAGGGGATTTTGAGGCAGCTGAGCGCCACTGCATGCAGCTGTGGAGGCAGGAGCCTGATAACACGGGCGTGTTACTGCTTCTGTCCTCYATCCACTTCCAGTGCCGAAGACTCGACAGGTGAGGTGTGGCGGGAGAGGCTTTGTCTCGCACTCTGCATTTGATGGGGTGATAGCAGAAAATTACGGGGCTTCCGGATTTTGCTACACTATGCAATGAGGTGTCGTGCTTTCTATTTGATTGTAACACAGGCTTGTGGTGGTGGTATCTGACAAAGCCATGGTTGGGATTTTGAGTTTCCCAAGTTAAATTGAAGTGTTTTTGTTCTGCGTGTATTGACATAATTATTGAAGAACGTGCTGCTTTGCTTTTGCCTCTGAACGTCTAATCAAGCAAACTCTTCCTGTTTGGAGTTTCTGGAAGTGCTACAATCTTGTTTGTGACATTGCCCTGCAGGTCGGCTCACTTCAGTACGTTGGCCATCAAACAGAATCCAATGCTTGCRGAGGCCTACTCCAATCTGGGGAATGTCTACAAGGAGCGTGGGCAGCTTCAGGAGGCTATTGAGCATTATCGTCACGCTCTGCGGCTGAAGCCAGATTTCATTGATGGCTACATCAACCTGGCTGCAGCTCTGGTGGCTGCAGGGGACATGGAGGGAGCGGTGCAGGCTTACGTGTCTGCGTTACAGTACAACCCGGTATGTAACACACCTGAAGYTCTTGAACTGACTGCATAGTTTTCTGAGCTGGTGAGTAATAAGATTGAACTTCTTCCCCTTCAGGACCTGTATTGCGTGCGTAGCGATTTGGGCAATTTGCTTAAAGCCCTTGGGCGTTTGGAGGAGGCCAAGGTATGTGAAAATAGGTTGACTTTTACATAGATGTGGTGGCTAATTTTTGCATAGTTTTTACCTTTTTTCTAGTCGTTTATTTATTGTTTTTAGTACCCACTAAGGCTATAAATATATATATATATTTTCCCCCTTTTTAACATTTTAAAAAAACATCAGATCTTTTAAGTTCTACCATCTCAGCTCAGTGAAGAACAGAAAGAAGTAGCATTCTCTAGTTGCAGTGAGATTCTCACCTCCAACTTAGCAATTTTTTTGGTAAATATTGTATTGGATTAAGCCAATATTCATATGAAAACAACATCTRTTTATTATTATTTTAGTATTTAAAAACTTTTTGTTGATTACTTTTTAGAAATCCTTATTTGTTTTCCGCATACACATTCATACCACATATCAGTTTTAGTCCCCCTGTCCTGTCTTATACTCTGACCTTTTATCGGAGGTCAGCCCCTCCCCTTTCAGGAAGAAAGGCTGGAGTTTTTTAATTCTCACAACAGATCCAACTTTGGCCTTGTATTTTTATATATTCACCCTAAAGGGGAAATGCTGGCTCGGTCTTGGGAGAAATCATGAACTGATGAGAAGTTAGTTTATCTTTGAAGTGCAAAAGATAAGATGGTTTATAACCTAACTGTTGTACTCCTGTTAGTGTAAAAAGAACCCAAAGACAATTGTTTCATCTTGGTTTGCTGTCAGGCTCCAAGTGTGGCTTTTCCCCCCTCAGGAATTCCCACTTCAGTTTGTCTCAAAAATTGTTTATTTCAGGGGGSTACCTTGGTGGGGGTCAGATCTGGAGGCATGGAGTTATCCTGCTGGTTACAGGCCATCTTATTTCATGCTAGAGGGGGGTAACGGAGTGGGGAGGAGCATCAGGGAGTCAMAAGCTCCTCAGCTCTGTCGCTCCGCCCCCCGCGCGCGTGCTAAGGATTGGTGGAATGTGCACGCTCAGAGCTGTCTTCCTGACCGCTTCAGTCAATGCGTGCTCCAGCATACTCCTAATTTGTTGTTAGACCTGCATGTTTGCACTACTTGTTTATTTTTAGCATATAAGTTTTCTGTTCCCGGTAAATAATTCTCTAAGGTGGTTAATTTTCTTGATAACCACTGTTCTCAGATTGCATGGGTTGAAGAGTAACCGCTCTCCAGCACCTTTTGAATGACTGAACTGGTGTCAAGCAGACAGCTCACTATCTGTACTCCACCGCCTGCGTCAGATGCTGGGTTAGAAAGACAGAAACATGCGCAGCTACAGCAATGACCTCTTTATTTCAGAACTGTGGAGGCTTCTAGATACAAGTCATTAATCCACAGACTTCTTTTCTCTACCCATTGGCCAGGATTCAACAAAGCAGGCCAGGAAAACAAAGCTTAAAAAAACATTTCATGAAAATGCTAGATGAATAAAATACAAGCAATGATTAATATTTCTTCCCTTTTTCCTTCAAATATGTAACTATTATTCCCAAAGAAATGGGATCAGTTCATTTGGGCAAGATCAAGCCAGTAACTGTCCTCCTGTAAGTTGATTTCAAATCTGAATTGAAGGACAACTGGAAGTCTGACATTAGGGCTCTGATTATCTGTTCACAACAAAGCCTTTCTTCCCTCCCAGATACCCTGTAGGCATTGCTTTTTGTTTTCTTTGAAATTAAACATTCATTGCATGACTCAAAGTGAAGAATAGTCATAAAGATTGAATGTTTGTTGTGATTTTTGTGTTTTGTTTCCATAATTAAAAAAGTATGTATTGTTTGACAACTTATACTAACGATCTTGTTTTCTGATTTTGTCTCTTTTGGTTTTTCCACAACTGATACTGTTATTTAGAAGGTTTCAGGTGGGTGACACTATTCCTGCGTAGGTGCCTGGCGGAAAGGAACTCTAGGGCAGCCTCAGTCCTCTCCTCTTCTTCCAGCCAGCTGCGATCGCCACTCTGACAAAGTCCAAAAATATGGTAACGGGTTTGTAAATGCCAGCAAAAGAAAAAAAAACCACCTCACTTCATGCTTGAGCTCCTTTGTCTTGTGGCTTCCTTTTGAAAAGCAATAAATAAATAAATAAAAGTAACATTACAATCCACAGTAAGCATTTCTTTAAAAAATATACTATACTAATTACCTAGTTTTATAATGAGTAAAAAGAAACTTGGATTTGGAAGCTATAATCATGAAAAACAAGTAAGAACCCTCTAACTCTTACATATTATTTTTTTTCCTGTTTTGTTTTTCCCTTCTTTATTTGGAGTTGCAGCGTTCTGATGATGATGATGCAGATAGTGTGCCGTGAGTCTGCAGTAGCGCAGGGGCTGCGCAGCGATACCCTTCAAGCGACCAAAGTGGCGGAAAGGCGCAAGCGTGCTAATCCACACCCCTCATTCCCTTTGGCCTGTTGGTTGTGGACCTCCCCCCGCTCAAAACCAGCCTCGCACCCAAGTGCACCCAAATCTTTGAAACGAAAAACTAAAAAAAAAACCATCAAGGTTTTTCCTCTTTGTTTTTGAAGACTGGTTCATGTACTAACCCTTCTCCTTATTATGGGAGGATAAATGGGTGCCGAGCGTGTGCTAGTCTGGTCCTGCAGGTTCTCTGCCGGGGTTGTTGGTTTGCAGCTGTTTCACCTGGCCATACAGCGAGCGCAGCAGCGAAGTCGTACCTTTGCCATGAGCAAGGTCGTGCAAATGGCGCGAAATGGTGCAGCGAGGGGGTGGCAATTAAGTCGCGCAGCGCGCTTGCGTTTGTTGCGCATGCATTACAGGGACCATCACCTGCACAAACTGCCTAGCATCCAWGGTTGTGAGGGAATAGATCCTTCCAATAAGATTTAGCAACCATTGATGATTTTATTTTACTACTTTGTTACAACTGAATAATGGTATTACCAAAAAGCAGCAGATAATGGTCGAAAAACCATTTGAATTATTGAAAACATGGTCATAACTTCAGGATGAGGGCCTACGTGTGGGTGTTGGTTGGATCCGCGCAGCGTAGGAAAAAGCAATGCAGCTTTGCGCGGCAGACTTTGGCGCCAGCGAGCCCATGCTGTAGACTCACTTTTTGGCTTCATAGAGGACGGACACTAATTTTGCTCTCTCTGCTCCCTTTTTTTTTCTTTTTATTCTCAATCTTCTCTATTATTTTATTTATTTATTTTACAATCCCTTCCACCCTCTGCATACTATACCTGTCCCATTCTACCTCTTGTCCTCCTTTCCTGTGGTTTTAATGTAAACCCACTGAAGGCTTGTTACCTGAAAGCCATTGAGACCCAGCCAAACTTTGCCGTGGCCTGGAGCAACTTGGGTTGTGTGTTTAATGCCCAAGGAGAAATATGGCTTGCCATACACCATTTTGAAAAGGTAAGTTCGATCATTTTTATAGTGGGATTGCTATTTTGTGATATTCACGTGTTTTTTAGTTTCTAAGCTTTTTTTTTTTTCTAGGCTGTGACTCTGGACCCAAATTTTCTTGATGCGTACATCAACTTAGGCAACGTTCTCAAAGAAGCCCGCATCTTTGACAGGTGAGTCTAAAGAAATACTCAGACGTTATGATACTCTCTGAAAACATGCTTAAGCTCTTGTCTTGAAATACACACCCTATAACATTGTGTACAATCAAARATGTCAGTGTGAGTACTTTTTAATCTCAAAACTTGTAGCCTTGTTCCTCTATATTTATTTGAATCTGTTAATAGTTCAAAAGGAGCTCTGATATGTTTGTTAGCAGCTTGTGAGAAGCTTTTTGGAAAGCCTAATCTCGAGCATTACTTGTACTGTTTCAGAGCTGTGGCTGCTTACCTGAGAGCTCTGAGCCTTAGCCCCAACCATGCAGTCGTCCATGGAAACCTGGCCTGTGTCTACTACGAGCAGAGCCTCATCGACCTCGCCATCGACACCTACCGTCGTGCTATTGAACTGCAGCCTCACTTTCCTGAYGCCTATTGCAACTTAGCCAATGCCCTGAAGGAGAAAGGCAATGTAATGTGCATTTWCTTGTTCCAAAATAAAAGAATTTTGGGTTTCTAAGTAAGTTTTGGTTTTCAGATGTTGGTTTTTTATCAGGTGTCTGAAGCAGAAGAGTGCTACAACACGGCTTTGCGTTTGTGTCCAACTCACGCTGACTCCCTCAACAACTTGGCCAACATAAAACGTGAACAGGGCAACATAGAGGAGGCAGTTCAGCTCTACAGAAAAGCACTAGAGGTGAGTTGAGCAATGCTGTTAACAGCTCTTGTTTTCTTGTGAAYTGGTTCAGCACATGAACTTATTACTGTTTTTATTATGGTTTTCATTAGGTGTTCCCAGAGTTTGCAGCAGCTCACTCTAACCTAGCCAGTGTTCTGCAGCAGCAAGGAAAACTGCAGGAGGCCCTCATGCACTACAAGGAGGCGATCAGGTTGGTAATCTTAAGCTACAGTCACAGTTTCTCTGAGGTTCTCTTCTCTTATCCACCTCCTACCTTTTAATTTGACAAATACTACACAGGATTGTATTCTTTGGTTTGAATAAACACTAATCAGTTGACCTTGGAGTTTAAACACTTGCCCGTTTTCATTTTAGAATCAGCCCCACGTTTGCTGATGCCTACTCCAACATGGGCAACACACTGAAGGAGATGCAGGACGTACARGGGGCACTGCAGTGCTACACTCGTGCCATCCAGATCAACCCAGCCTTCGCTGATGCTCACAGCAATCTGGCTTCCATCCATAAGGTAAGGACAAATCTTTTTCTATTTTTATCARGGTATATTCCATTATTGTTATTGTAACTTTAATTTGTGTTCATTTTTTTTAGGATTCTGGAAACATTCCAGAGGCCATTGCATCTTATCGCACTGCTTTGAAACTCAAGCCAGACTTCCCTGATGCTTACTGCAACTTGGCCCATTGTCTTCAGGTTGTATACACGTTCTTTATTTAGCAGCTATTTATGCTTTGATTCTAGAGTAAATCTGACTTTTTTCTCAAATGTCTCTCTTCCAGATCGTGTGTGACTGGTCAGACTAYGACGAACGAATGAAAAAGCTTGTGAGCATAGTGGCTGACCAGCTGGAAAAGAACCGCTTGCCCTCAGTGCACCCACACCACAGCATGCTGTATCCACTGTCTCACAACTTCCGCAAGGCCATCGCCGAGCGCCACGGAAACCTTTGCCTGGACAAGGTACACGCAATGATCAAAGCAAGTAACCTTTAAATTACTTTTTTGGGTGGGTGTGAGGTGGTTGGTAATGGCAAAGCCTGGCTGTGGGAATTTGGGGAAGGTAAGGGATGAGCACGATTCTWGAAATATTTGCAGGAAAGAGTCAGAACAGCTGGTGGTGCATGGGTTGCTTGCAGTGGGTGAAGGTGTGGTATAAAAGGTGAACACTTTAGGTGAAGCTATGGAACATGTTTAGGRGTGAGTTTGATTCGGTGTTGAAACGTGCCTCCTGCTTTGGTTGCAGTCTAACACTCTAGTCTATTTCATAGATTAATGCCCTGCACAAACCTGCCTATGAGCATCCTAAGGACCTGAAGGCCAGTGGTGGACGCCTGCGCGTCGGCTACGTCAGCTCTGACTTCGGCAACCACCCGACTTCCCACCTGATGCAGTCTATCCCTGGAATGCATAATCCAGAGAAATTTGAGGTAAATATTTGTATCTGCTAGTCCAGAAATGATAAACTGAGCACTCATCTATCACTCATTACAACCTCTTGTTACTAAAATGTTTTGTTTTACATCTTTTCTGAAGGTGTTCTGTTACGCACTGAGCCCTGATGATGGAACTAACTTCCGTGTGAAAGTTGTAGCAGAGGCTCATCATTTCACAGACCTCTCACAGGTAACTTCTACATTTCATATATTTACTAATTAGATTATTTAAATTTTTATTTTTTTATTTTTGGAAAAAAGTGGGCAGATATTAAGAKTTTTTTCTTCTTTCTGCTGCCTTTCATTTACTTGTGATTTGTATTATTTGCTGTGTACAGTATTTGTTTTATTTTTAAATGAATATGAATAAATTAACTAAACGAACTGTTAAGCTTTCTTAACATGTAGTGTTAAATAAATGTTTTTTAAAAGATTGGAAAGTTATGTTGTCTTTTGAAGTAGTTTGACCTAATTGGAGAATGTGATGGCACAAATTCAACATTACAAAACAAAAACACAAACATTTATCTTCTGATTTTAGATTCCTTGCAATGGAAAAGCAGCTGACCGTATTCACCAGGATGGAATCCACATTCTTGTCAACATGAACGGATACACCAAGGGGGCACGAAATGAGCTGTTCGCTCTTCGTCCCGCCCCCGTTCAGGTGAGCTTCCTTTAGAGATAAAATGGCAATGCTATTGCCCTGATTATTGAGACTTTTATGATCTACTGACTTAGAAAAAAGGCAAAAACATACTTCTRCACATTTGTCAGGCTATGTGGCTCGGTTACCCTGGAACCAGTGGGGCACCTTTCATGGACTACATAATCACTGACAAGGAAACATCACCTGTGGAAGTAGCTGAGCAGTACTCTGAGAAACTCGCCTACATGCCCAATACGTTCTTCATCGGCGATCATGCCAACATGTTCCCTCACCTCAAGGTTAKTTCAGCTTCCCATTACTGATGATACTTCAGGGTCATAATCTCCTTTTTTAATTGCTTGTTTAAAAAAAAGGAATGTATCATTTTATTTCTTTGACTCACAGAAAAAGGCAGTGATTGATTTCAAGTCAAATGGACACATCTTTGACAATCGCATAGTTCTTAATGGTATTGATCTGAAAGCCTTCTTGGACAGTCTGCCTGATGTCAAAGTGATAAAGGTGAGTAAAAATAATTCATTAGTMTTCAAAACCTAACTATACTCAGTGAAGCACTATGAGAAAACATGGAGAACCTGTAGCCATATAATTACCAATCATGACATTGACTATGAATAAAAAATTACCAGTAATCATCACTGTTTATGGTGTAAACAGCCATTGGAACCCCTCTAATAGATGTTGAAAGTAAAAACTGTATGTTGTGCTCAGATGAAGTGTGACAACAACCAGGAAGCTGCTGGAGACACAAATGGAGCTCTGTCCATGCCTGTGATTCCCATGAACACAGCAGCTGAGGCGATCATCAACATGATCAATCAAGGTCAAATCCAAGTCACAATCAATAACTTCACTGTCAGCAATGGCCTGGCCACCACACAGGTAGGACTCGTGTGGACACACCTATCATGAATACAAATCTTGAAACAATGTGTGCAGATACAGAAAGAGTTTAACTTTCTTTTTGAATCAATATATATTTTCATTTGATTTCTTTATGTAAAACCATAATATGTGAGCTAAAAACGAGGTTATTGGATTTTCTACTTTGGTTACCCATCAGCTCTAACTGTTAGGAACAGAACACTTAAAAGTTTATTTTGTTCCCTATTTTAGATCAATAACAAAGCTGCAACTGGGGAGGAGGTGCTGCGCACCATTGTAGTTACAACTCGCTCCCAGTACGGTCTCCCAGAGGATTCCATCGTCTACTGCAACTTCAACCAGCTCTACAAGATCGACCCTCCTACTCTCCAGACGTGGGCCAACGTAGGTTAAACTGATGCGATGCCAGTGATAGCTTTCAGTTTTTATTCAAGGCTTCCCTTGGGGGAAAAGAAAACTAGATTTAAAAGTTAGTGTTAAGTCTGTTTGAAACTTCCCTTGTTGCTGCAGATCCTGAAACGAGTGCCCAACAGCGTGCTGTGGCTTCTTCGCTTCCCTGCTGTTGGCGAGCCCAACATCCAGCAGTATGCTCAGAACATGGGTCTGCCCGCCTCGCGCATCATTTTCTCTCCTGTGGCGCCCAAGGAGGAGCACGTGAGACGAGGCCAGCTGGCTGACGTGTGCCTCGACACCCCTCTGTGCAACGGTCACACTACAGGCATGGATGTGCTCTGGGCTGGAACTCCCATGGTGACTATGCCAGGTGAGCAAGTTGAAAACAAACACTTCTTTCTTTACTACGTGAATCATTCTAACAAAGTATCGAGGGGTGGGATAAGTACAATTTTGAAAATTGTGTTTTTTAAATCTATATACAGAGTCTCTTTTTTAATAAGACCCTTTTGTAGGTGAGACCCTTGCCTCCCGCGTGGCTGCCTCCCAACTTAGCTGTCTCGGCTGCCCTGAGCTGATAGCCCAAAGTCGCCAGGACTACGAGGACATAGCAGTCAAACTGGGCTCTGACATGGAATAGTAAGAAGACCTTTACCGGCTTTTATATTTAAACTTTTATTTATTTCTCTTCATGTATGAACATGTAACATTGCCTGTCTTTCTTGCAGCCTGAAGATGATCAGAGCACGTGTATGGAAACAGCGAATCTGCAGCCCCTTGTTCAACACCAAGCAGTACACAATGGACCTGGAGAAGCTCTATCTGCAGATGTGGGAGCATCACAGCARCGGCAACAAGCCAGAACACATGGTCAAACTCCAAACAGTCGAAACCAGCGAGAATGCCTGAACTGAAAACACGCTTCTCCTCCACGAAATCCCACCAGTTTTTAACCATCATCTGGTTTCACTGGAGGTCCCTGTCCTTCATCAACTCGTACTTGCTTTCAATGGGACTCCTCCTTGCATGGAGCCTACACATGTTCACATTCAGACTTCTGTCACAGATGTCAGCAAGTCACACATCTACATCTGCTGAGCCAGACTGAGCCTGAAACATTCAGGCACCTGATCTGAGACTCTTGTCCTGCAACACTTAATATGTATTTTGTGCGCATGAGAAGATTATGAATGCTCTGCCATCTCTTCCACACTTGGAACTATGGAWCTTTTTTTGTTTTTTCTCCTGTCAATGTGTATGTAGGACTAATTGCAGCTTGTGGAGAAAATACCCAGCCGTCATTACTTGGTGATCTGTTTAGAAAAATCAAGAATGTTTTATTTAAAAAAATAAAAAGACTATGTTGCGCCATTAAAATTACAAGTTTTGTCAGCTTTAACAAGCAGTTTTGAAACTTGAATTGCTCAAGTTCTTTACATGAAGCTGGTAAACAGCTGCAATGAGTAAATGTGCAAATTCTTCCCTCACCAAATGCCAACTTTTATTACTTTTGTCAATTGAGAAATATGTTTTTGTCAGACTGACAAAATTATTGGGCAAAGAAACACAACTGATGATGCTGAAAAGCCTTAAATTTCAGTTCTAAAATTAGCTGTTTAAAATTTGATTTTGTTTTTATAACACAAGCCAAGAAACTGAATAGGTAATTATTTTCTAARGAGGTTTTTGTTTTGTATTGTTGAACTGTATGCTGTCAGTGATACTGCGAGTCTACATATAATAAATGGAGATTGAAAATACTATTGTTTTTCCTCTTGTTGGTCAGCAGTAAAATKATGCTAAATCTAAAGACTCTGTTTATATTCTTTAACTTATTAATGCAAAAATATGCCTTTGATTTCTATGCCAAAGAATATTAATGAATTTGGTGATTGTGATTACCATGGAGGCCAGCCAGGGTAAATGTAACTGAAATTACTAATAGAAAAAAGTTAAGGCACTTAAAAGCTTTTTTAAAAGGCTTCATAATGTTACACTACTGTGAAGTAGCTTCTTTCTTGTTGCTCAGTGTTTTCAGATGAGATGGTACTGAGATCACCTAGGTACTAAATGTTGACTTGTGTGTAAGTGAATATATAAATGTATGTGTATGTATATACTATATATCATGAAGTTAAATATAAGTAATAATACGTTCTAGCTATATTATTAAATATACATTAGCAATAGTTGTATCATTGGCTAAAACCAGAGCCCTATAGAAAGAAATCTTTCTATAGGGCTCTGGCTAAAACCATGCACGTCTACGTCGGTGGGCGTGGACAAGTTGACACGTTTTCACAGCTCTTCTCTGATTGGTCAAAAATGAAAACAACTTCCGCTGTTGCTGTTTAAATTTACCTTCRCGATTTTCTCTCCACCTCAGCCGCTTCCTTCAGGTTTTTAAAAAAACAGAATCACTTTTGGTACTCGTAACTCAATAGAAGTGTAGTTTAGACAGACATTTCCCGCTATATTATTKTAAGGTTTTGTGCGATCTGTTCTGAAAAAATACGAGCAAGCAAATATTAGCCTTAAGGGTCGTTTGTTTTAGCGAAACTTTATCGGAAATGCTAACTAGCTACCCGTAGTTTCTGTACGAGCTTTTGGTTTGAAAGAAACCTTTTTATTAGAACAATTTACTAATTATTTTTAATGTGCAATGCGTATGCTATTTTACACAGGAGAAAATGAACGATGAGATCCGCCGTTTGTTTGAAAGAGTCGCTGAAAAGGTAGGCTGGATGGATGATGGAGGACTGGAGGCGACAGAAAACAAGGTTGGTTGTACACCCAGCAGTGAGATGCAGATCGATATTGAAATATCGATAYTATAGATACCAACAAAACTTTGTTTTAAAATCGATACTAAATCAAAATATCGATACTTTGATACTTCAGTTATTTCACATAATGTTTTCACATTAACAGGGAAATAGTGGAAAATAACTAAATTATTCAAATCTTGTCTAAATCAAATGTGATTGGAGGGAACTACTTTTTCTTCCGCTTGGGTAATGCATGCTCAGTCACTCAGTCTGTAGATGTATGGC